ATGTACGTATGTGTGTGTACTTTATGTTGGAATCTTATGAATACATTATCTATTCAAAAATTAAAGTTAAAATGTCCTTAAAGGTTATTATAAGACTGCTTTAATTGTAAATCTTTTTAAAAAAATGACTGGAATTCAGAACACATTTTTCTATAAGGAACAATATTAACTCAGCCTACAGAACTCCTCCCCTCCCCTTCTTACCTGAGGACTCCCCATTATTCCTCCATGATTTATCCCATCAGCAGGGAAGACTGCTCAAATTGTTCCCATCCTAAAAACCCTCTTTAGACCCTGAGAAAGTATACTCCTTACCACAGAGCCAAGCTCCATGAAAGGGCTGCCTGCACTTTCTGTCTGTGTGTTCATATCCCACTCACTCCTCCACCACTGCAATCCCACCTGGACACTCACCATCCAAAGAGCTCTCCTGCTCAAGCCCCTAACCTGCTGACCTGCACCCACTAAATCAGGGATTGTCTTCCCTTTCTCTCTCTGCAGTTGCCTGTACTTGAAATTCTTCCTGAAACCCCAATACTTCTGCTATCCAGTCTTTATTTTTTTGGTGGCTGGCCGATATGGGGATCCGAACCCTTGACCTTGGTGTTATAGGGCTGTGATCTAACTGACTGAGTCAACTGGCCAGCCGGCTGCTATCCAGTCTTTAAATGCCAGTCTTTCTCTGAGTTCTGCCCTGGTGAAATGGTTAAGAACAGGAAGGCTCTGGAGTCAGACTACCAGGTTTAAATATTGGATATTCCACTAACAGCTATTTGGCCTTGGGCAAGCTACTTGACTTCTGTATGTCTCGGTTTCCTCTTCTGTTAAATGATGGTAATATTACCTACCTACCATATAGGGCTGTTGTGAAAGTAACATGAGCTCCTTTGTGTAAAGCTCTTAGAATAGGTTTGCATATGGATGTTCAATAAATATTAATGTAGTAGATTATTTGCAAAAATGATAGCAGTTATTCTCTCTGTATGCAGGCACTTGGCAATGTGGCTTCGCAGCTCCTCCGCATCAAGTGATAGGGTCATATCCCGATCACTCTTTGAATCTGGGCTTGCCTTGTGACTTACTTTGGCCATGAGAATGTGGCAGATTGATCAGTATGCTCCTGATCTTAGGGACCCTGCTGCAGGCCGTGAACAAGCCCAGGCTAGCCTGCTGGAGGATGAAAGAGCTGCAATCCAGTCATCCCTGTGGCCACAGCGGACATCCGACCAGCCCTCACAAACAGAGCCTCCGAGCTCACTTACATAGAGTGTGGTGTTGACAACAGATATCTGAGGAAGCCAGACAAGACCAGAACGGCAAAATTGTGTGCTAAACAAATGGCTGTTGCTTTCATAAAGCCAGCAGGTTTATGGTGGCTGTCTTGCAGTGATGGCTAATTTGTAGTTGGCTACCATTATTAGGTACCATCCTTACATTACACATCCACCTTGGATAATTTCTCCCACTCCAAAGTTCCAGTTGTCATCAATATGCTAGCAACCTCCTCTACCCTCCTCAGGTTCGGACCCTCCTTTACCCTTCAGACTCCCATACCCAGCTCCGGGCTGGACACCTCTTCTTGGGGTATCCTCCACAAAGACCCCCACTTGTGTGCTTGAAAGACCAGGCTCATTCTCAAACCTGCCCCTTCTGTGTCCCTAACTCAAGGCATTTGCTGCTACCAAACAGAAATCTAGAAGTCACCCTTGCTGCCTCCCTCTCCATCATCCCCTCCCCGGTCAGTGATCAAGCCCTGTGGTTCCTACTTCCTGAGTATATCCCAAACTCATATCTCCGCTCTGCCTCCACTGTCTCCACTCCGGTCCAGGCCACCATCACCTCTTACCTGAACTGCTGCAACCTCCTCCTAACCAGCTTCTCTGACTCTAGCGTACGTCTCCAATCCATTCTTAAACTGCAGTGAAAGCGATCTTTCCAGAACATAATTCTGATCCTGACACTTGCTCTGCCTAGAACATCCATGATTCCCAAATGCCCTTCGGACAGTGGGCCTTTGTCAGTTCTGCCCCCTGGAATCTCCATGGAGGGCTCATTTCCCACTACTTCCAGGCTCTCTACCATCAGAACATCATCTTAGCAGTCCTACCAACGCCTTAAGGTCGCTCTTGCTACCAAGCTTCTGCACGAGCCTCCCATCACGCAGCTCCCACCTCCCACTTCTGTCCTGGTTTGTTCTCACACATCCCCGGCTCCCGATGTGGATATATACATCATTTCTACCAGAAACCTTCCCCATCCTCCCCAAAATGGGTCAGCCGCACCCAGAGCTCCCCAGTCCTTCCCGGTTCCTTTGTCTGGCCTGCCCACAGGAGTGTGAGCTGCCCTGATGGGGGCTTTGCCTGGGTCCCACAGTATCTCCAGCGACCAGCCAGGGTGGGTAGGTACGTTCTTAGGCAACCCTTTTTGCAAGAAGGAATGAACACCTCTAAGATTCTATTCGCAGTCTCTACATTCTGTTTTGAAAGGCCAAAGTTTCTAAAATTCTGAATTTATGATAGTTAAAAAGCGCCGCTGCTGTTCTTATGCTCAAAGTTTAGCAAAAACTGCTCCAAGTATACCATTCCAACTCGAAGGAGTCCTTGACTCTTTACCTCCCGGAGTGTCTGCGGGGGACCGCCGGGCAGGTCCTGCCGCCTGAGCCCCGCCCACGTCCCGGTGGCTGCGCCCCGGCCGGCGCCAGCCACCACTGCCGGGACCCCCGGGCCCCGGGCCCTCACCTGGCCGCCTGCATGAGCGCGCTCCAGCCGTAGTGGTTGCGGCTGTTGACCGAGGCGCCTCGGCGCAGCAGGAAGCGCACCAGCGGCTCGTGGCCCCCGGCCGCGGCGAACTGCAGCGCCGTGTTGCCAGCCTCGTCCGAGCAGTCCACGGGCACCGGGGCTCCG